TGCTGATCCCTTTAGCTTAGCGGCTCGGGAGGCTGAAGCGTTTCGGGAGGCTTCAGCATTTGTTCTGGGCTGCCTGTCCCATGGGAACGGCAGGGTAGGAGCAGCTGCAGAACCCAGCAAGGGATGTGATTGAAGACTTGCTGATGCATCGAGAAATTTCTTGGTGAAGCATCAGAAAAGAAGGGCAGAGCAGCCTTGTCCCGTCGCTGCGGGACGGCTCACATCGCGCGGGGATCTCGTCTTCCTCTGTTGTTTCTCTGGGTTTGCTGCCTTTGTGCCTGTAGCGATACTGCAAAAAGGAGGTGGTGAGACTGGGGGAGAAGGCAGAGGAGCAGCGGATGGGATAGGGCAGGTTGCTGTGCTCGGAGGTGAGCGGTTCTGCAGCGCGGGACGGCCCGAGTGCTTCGTGTCCCTGTGTTGGAGCATCCCCTTGGTGTCCTTGCTGCTCCAACCGCCCGGGTTTGCTTTTGACTGCCTTTAACACTGTGAATGTTATCCTGGGTCCGGTTTCCTACGGTTGTGGACACTTGGATCATGGTCATTGACACAGCTACCATGAGCGTGATGGTTTGAATTTGTAGATGTGGGCTCAAAAGCTGTTGTGTTCTTCAAGGTCTCGACGTCACCTTGGAGAAAGACAGCACGCTTTGTTAGGAGATGCATTTGTCATTTTTGTCACCTTTTCCATCTGCTTTTACTGCACTGAAACGTGACACTGTCTCTGGGCCTGACCTTTAGGCTCCTGTAGAGGAGGCAGTTGGGGTTTGGAAAGCCAGGACATCCTGGCTTCCTACCAGGAGGAATAAATACCAGCAGGTAACGTGGGACAGGCAGCAGATCCCTGAAATAGCATTTCTTGAAAGCAGACGTTGTAGTGGAAAGTTTTGAGCAGCGTGGGGTGTGTCTGTGCTCCTGTGTGGTGAGGTGGCAGAGTGCTATGGGGCCATCCCTCCAAAGGGGACAAATCGGAATTTTCCAACATCTTCCTCTCTTTCCACGGTTCTTGGAAAAACAGATTTTGGGCAGTGTGGGGTAGCCCTTCCTTGGTCAGGCGAGGTTTATAGGCTCAGTTACAGTGAATCCCAGCCCGGGTTCTCTGTGCCTTGTGCTTGCATGGGAGTTATCCTCTTCTGCGTGCATCTCATGAGCTGTTTTTCCATGCAGACTAGGCAGCCATGTCTGCCAAGGCCATCTCAGAGCAGACCGGGAAGGAGTTCCTGTACAAGTACATCTGCACGTCCTCGGCCATCCAGAACCGCTTCAAGTACGCGCGGGTCACGGCCGACACCGACTGGGCCCGGCTCACGCAGGAGCACCCCTGGCTGCTGAGCGAGGTGAGGAGAGCGGCCCCGCTCGGCCCTGCCACCCGCAGCGCTCCTTGGGACAGTGATGAGGAAACACCCTGCCCGGGGCTGTTGTTTCAGGGTTGTGATTGTAAAACCCCCTTGAGGACTTGCCAAAATACACCAGCAGAGATGTCGGCAAGTTAGGAGCTGCTGTAATAACCATGAAGTTAGTCTAGGCTAATTCAGGCAGAGCAAGAGAGCCATGTGCTCTTAAGATGTCAGCTGGTGTCTTTGTGCTTTATAGCCATGCATTTTCTGCAGAGAATTTATCTCCAGAGCTCCTTTTATTAGCTGTCCACCCTGGCCCCTTTCCAGTGGTTAATTATATTAAGGCACCAGTTAGCAGAACAGGAATATTTCACAGCTTCTTACTGATTGATAGAAACCTGACAATGAGTAATTTGAATTCTCTACACTCAGCTGCCAGAGTTAGGTGAAAATAGGGGAAATATCAGTAGGGCTTTTAGAAAGGTTGCAGAATGCCAGAGGAGAGCAAGGGCAGTGCCTGGTCCTCGAGGCAGCCTCCTGGGCTGTGAGAAGGGCTGCAGGGTCTGCTCAGCAGACACGTCGCTGTCTCTGCAACTGCATCATGTTGGGTTTTGGCTCTGTACTGTGAGTTGCAAAAGTTGCAGGATTTAACTCTGTGTAGGAGAGCAACACCCATTTCTCAGCAAAAGTGGTATTTGCAAGCTCAGGAAGACATTTATCTAGGTACACTTTTTTAGATATCGGCTACAATGCTGTAACCTTGTAATATGTACACGCTGCTTGGCTGTAGCTGGTCTCAGGTGGAGCAGATGGGTTTGTGATCAGCTGGCTGTGCTTGTGGCTGGCTTTCCTTGTCTCTGTATCAGCCTTGCTTTGTGAGCCTCCGCTTAGAGTGATACCAATTCCATGATGTATCTTATGAAAATGGTTCACAAAAGGGAGCGTGTTCAGCGTGAGCTCTCCTAGCCAGGGAGCAGGCAGCACTTGTCTCAACACTTGCATTGAAAGAGTTGTTGTCAACGTTGCAAAGTTGCTGATACCCAAGCACCTTTGAGGAGAAATAAGGCAGTTTCTTCTCCAAGCACAGAGCCAAACACTGCAGGCATATTGTGCCTAGAGATGCATTTGCTTAACTGCAGCACGTTAGGCACCAGCCAAGAGATTACAGCACATTCTGACAGAGGTTCTCCAGAGAACTTAACTTCCAGATTCGCCATCTGCAGAGAATGTCTAACCAAAATCAATTTCTGTCTCTCAATCCCTCTTGCATGATCCTGCAGCGCCTCGTGGTGAAGCCAGATCAGCTAATAAAGCGGCGTGGGAAGCTTGGGCTGGTTGGAATCAACCTCACTCTGGATGAGGTGAAAGTTTGGCTGAAACAGCGCCTGGGCCACGAAACCACGGTGAGTACTAGCCACAAGCAGCAGCAAAAGCGTGAGGGCTTTGGTGGTGTTTTTTCTGCCTGCTTGCATCGTGGATCCTGGTGCACAGGTATTTCTTCAGTCCTTACCACCCACTGCCCCGTGAGCTCCGTGGGGTTGTGTCATGAGGGCTCGGCAGGAACTGATGCTGTTCTGAAAATCCCTTCCGCGTGGGATTCAGCAGCTGATAGCTCAAATGCCGTCTAGCTGGACTGTGAAACTGCTTCACATTAATACTCCAGGCAGATAAAACAAGACAGGTATAAAAGCTGTCATAAAACTCTCCTCTCCTTATAGCCAGCCAGTATGTCTTGACTGAAGACCAAGTGACGTTTCAAGTCCTTATTTTAACTCGGTGCTGGCTTGTAGTATTTATTCTTTTGGGAGTGCTACTGCAGTGCTAACAGTAAAGAACTGTCTGCCCTCTCGATGGCCACGTGCCAGGAGCTGGTGGGGTTTCATCCCAAGGAGACGGAGCTTTGCCCCTATGGTGGTTGATTTGCAGCAGGGCTGCCCAGGAGGCCGTTATGAAACAGCAGCAAGTGCCTCCCCTGCAGGAAAACGGGGGGATGTCAAAATAACCGCTGAGCACAACCTCATCCAAGGGAAGACTGTGCCAAGGACTTGGGACAGTGTGTGGGGTTTGTTCCCGAAGCAGCATCTTCAGGAGCAGAGCATCTGTCATGGCATGTGGAGGACTGTCCCCTTAGCCAGGACACTTGGTTTTGGATAGAGGGAAAGCCTCTGTGCAGAACAGCTCTGAGGCCCTTCCTGCCTTCTGGGGCTGCAGAGAAGAGGCTGAAGGGTCTTCCCTGGTCACCAACAGCTTCCAGGATGACTCCTGGGCTCGGGCTGCTGCCCCTCACTACCCAGCTCAGGAGTGTTCCAGCCCTGCACGGGGCAGCAGCAGGGCCTGATGCAGAGCTGGCTTCCCAGGATACATGTTGGAAAGATGCTCAGGAGGAAATGTTTTTACTCAGAGCAATGTTAATTCATTCTCAAAGCACGTCTTATGCTGTCATAAATGTAAATATTGGATAAGCGTTTATTGGTGCCTGTCTCGTTTTCTGCCTACAGATTGCTAATGCTAAGGGAATCCTGAAGAATTTCTTGATTGAGCCCTTCGTCCCCCACAAACAGGTTTGTATCCCAATTAGAGCGTTAAAAAAGGGCTTTTAAATCTTTTCTGACTTGCGTGTTGCTCGGATTGATGGAGTGGAGACGGCAGAGGCTCGGGAGCGTGTCAGGATGGCAGGACTGATGTCAGAGCTGTGTGGATGTGCAGTGTTGCTCCCTGCAAAGGCTTCTTAGGACCTGCGTTGGTGGCTCTTGCTGTTTGCAGTGGCTCAGGTCCCATGAGGAGGGCCCAGGTGCCAGGGAAAAAGCAGCTTCCTGCTGCCTCTGGTGTTCCCATGGGCAAACAACAAACTGCCCATGGGAGATGTCCCACTTTGTGCTGGTGACATCTTTGTCCTCTGTCATGGCTTTGGGTAAGGGACCATTACCTGGGGCGTAGGTGCTTTCCCTGCACCCAGGGAAGGATGGTGCTGGCAGCTAAGCTAGAGCCTGAGGTTTGTACTTCAGTTTTAGAAAGAAACCACCACTGCTGCCATCTTGCACATGTGGAATGTGCTGCTCCTGTGGCAGGTTTTTCCAGGGCAAAGCACTCTGAGCCCTGTCACCTTCCCTCCCAGGCCAGCACTGTCCGATTCTGCTACTTTTCCTTGGAAAACCCAGGAATGTGCTGTGCTGCCTCTTCCCTGGCAGCTCTCCCGGCCCCGCGTTGCTGCAGGTGCTCCTCGTGTGGCTTATTCTTGTTGTGCTGCAGGAGGAAGAGTTCTACGTGTGCATATACGCTGCCCGCGAGGGAGACTATGTCCTTTTCCACCACGAAGGAGGTGTGGACGTGGGAGACGTCGATGCCAAAGCGCAGAAGTTGCTCGTGGGGGTGGACGAAAAGCTGAGCGAATCGGATATAAAGAAACATCTCCTGCAGCATGCACCAGCAAATAAAAAAGAGTAAGTAGGGGTGGCTGGTACCCTGTCAGCTCTGTGCACTGCTAGCTGCCCAGAACCGCCATTCTCCCCTCAGTTTTTTTTTTTTTTAAGTGCAGCTTCCTTTCACACTGTTCCCTCCTAGCAGTCACTCTCCTGACCTTGCTGCTGCTCTCAAGAATGTGCCATGTATCATAAATTCAAGTTTTGACACTCTCTGAGCCTCGTGGGGAACTGAAAACAAGCGTTGGTAGCTCTTGGAGCTGTCACTTGACAGGAGCGCTCCGCACAGTCTAGCAGAGCCTTGACCTGCACCGTGTCAGGAATAGGGAGAGCATCTATATTCCTTCATGCCAGGATAGAAGTTTCACTCATTTAGCAGTGGAAATGTGATGGGAATCTGGTTGTTAATTCAGGAATGCGTTGTGCCTTGCCCAATTCAGCTACTTGAAGAGATTATTTTTTAGATGTTCCTAAGCTCCCTGCAAGCTGAACTGTAGGTCTCAACTTCTACATTTCCTTTAATTAAATGCCTGTAGTCGTCGTGACTGCCTTTGTTTGGCAATAGAAGGCTGAAGTATCCTGTCACTAATGCAGTTTATTGCAGTCCCTTCCCTATCCCAACTAATGAATCTTAGATCTGACAGAGATGCATGTCTGACATTAAGAAACAAGGATCTATTTCAGTCTCTGAGATTAAATAGACTGAGCATCCATACGATAGTTGAGCAACTCTGTTCCCAGGAGTTTGGTGGAGTGCAATTAAGATGAGTCATCAAGGTCTTCCTTTCCTTGAGTCATCACCTAGACTTCTTCCAGAGAAGATGAATGAGAGCGAAATAAATTGATACTGACTAAATTTGCAGTTGGCCACTAATACAAATGAAGCAGAGCAGGCTGTATTTTATATTTGGCTGATGTAATGAATCTGTATTTAATTTTTTTTCCCTTTCAGTATCTTGGCTAGCTTCATCTCTGGACTGTTCAACCTTTATGAAGATCTGTATTTCACATACCTTGAGATCAATCCATTAGGTAATTAATGCTTTTTGGAGCCCAGATACAGGACTTCCTGTTCCTCTATTTTACTCTTCTGTGATTTATGTAGTTCATAAAAGTATTAGATGGTGCCACAGAAGAACTATGAAAATGACTGCGATGTCTCTTGGAACATTCAATGATGTGAATCCACAAGGGGGGCAGTTACTAGGTGCTGTTTTATTGTCTGATTTCCTGGTATAAACAAAAACTTCTGATTCTGATGTTGAGTCAGAGGTCAAGAACATTGAAATTGCTCTGTTGAATCAGAGCAAAACAGCATCTGAGCTTGAGCCTGGTCTGTGACCGTGGTCAGTAGTTGATTCTTAAGAGATTTCTGAGGGTTTGGCAAACCTTGCTGAATAACAAGGGTGGAGATCGGGGAACAAATGTGATCTAGCTTTTGTAATGGTCCCTGGATGGCTTTTTGTTTGTTTCTTTGAGCAAGTCTGTAAAGTTTCCCTCTGTGCAAAACGCAGTTGAGTCTGTTATTTCTCAAATGCAGTAGTAACCGACGATGGTGTCTACATCCTCGACCTGGCCGCAAAGATCGACGCGACTGCCGACTACATCTGCAAAGTGAAGTGGGGAGATGTGGAATTCCCTCCTCCCTTTGGCCGGGAAGCTTATCCAGAGGCAAGTGGACAACCCCTGTGGGCCCATATCCCCCAGCACAGGGATCCTTCCCGCTGTGTGTGTGACACTGGGGTTATCCTCTCTGTGAGGGTTTTGCTCCTGTGTTTCAAATACTTTGTTGTTCTCGTTCATAAACAGAGCATCGAACCTGGGCCAACCTGTGTAGTGCTGGTATTTCTCATAATAGCATTTTGATTTGTGATTATTTACTGTCTTTGGGTTTTCTTTCACTTCTTTCATTTAGAAGTCCGAATTTTCTTTTTAAGTAGGGATTTATATTTAACTTCATTGAATTATGTGCCAGTCTTCTTTATCTGGTTCTTGCTTGCATTGCTTCCCTGTCAGCATTATTATTCTGGGAGGAGCACTGCTTGCTGACAGACTTGTGGGCTGACACTTCCTCAATGTTTCAGTTTAATTCCTGAGAACAAGACACCAGTTGGGTGCAAAAGCTGTAGGAGTGAACATGCAAGCAAGATCCTCTCAACCATCACATTTTGAAGATTTTTTTCAGGAAGTTAACATGTTAATCCACGTGTTTGCTTGGAAAGCAAAGAGTGAGAAGTGATCTAAGGGCAAGCTTTTTGTTTTTAAGGCTCAGAAGTGCCCATGCCCTCTCAGAATTACCTGAACTTGCACTGCTAGTCGCACAGATGCTGTTTCATGCATAGGCTCCCAGCAGCTTCATGCTGATGGAAGCAGAGCTCTTTCCTTAATTGTGCTGGTACTTACTGCAGGTGGCCCTTTTACTGTCTCCAGAAGGGATTTTGTCCTTCTGATTTCTTTTCATTTTAATAATTAT